TTATTGTTATTGTTATTGTTATTGTTATTGTTATTGTTACTGCTACTGTTACTGTTACTGTTATTGTTACTGTTACTGTTACTGTTACTGTTATTGCTATTGCTATTGCTATTGTTATTATTGTTACTGTTATTGCTATTATTGTTATTGTTATTGTTAAATAGTGGACATAATTTTATTGGGCTCATTAAAATTCTTCACTAAAGCTTTACATGATAATTATTATATGATAATTATTTGATAAAAAAATTATATTAACGAAAAAATGTATGATACAAATTAAGGTACTGAGTAAGAGAACATCAGACATCTCATCAGATTTGAATGACCTTTGAAATAAGATCTTTACAAAAGTGCAACTGTTTGCAGTAACTAAGGTTACCTATTAAACAAATTTCAAAATTAATTACATTTTTGACTCTAGCAATGTTTTGAGAGTTAACATGAACTGTATGCTGACAGAAGGAAAATGAAAACATTGTAATTCAGATTTTGATACACAAATTGGTCACAATTGGTAACATATCTGAGAAGTGAAGATTTTCCTCAGTTCCGACAGGTCTGTGCTTAAATAACAAAACACCTAACCCTCCTGTTTGTTGACATTTTGGCTGGACACAATTCCTGTGGCGCTAAACTGCTACAACTACATTAAAAATTGTGGTGTTGGTTCTTTGGCTCATATCAATGGCACATCATTACCAGTGCTTTCACATGGTTGTCACTTGCAGATGCTTAAGAAACACGGTCCTCTAGTCCAACTCTTACCATACAAAAACCCGTAAAGTTCTAATGGTATCAGACCTTGTTAAATTTGGATGTGGAAAGGTACTGACATATGGCAATTATTTTTGTAGGGTTGCAAATTGACTTTCAGGGTGGGGTTCCTACTTTTTTACTACATTAAAACAATATGTAGATTGATCCTTGTGCAGAATATAATTTTGTGACAAAGTCATATCAAGAAATAAAGAGGTTAAAACTTATTTAATGTAACTAATTATTTCAAGTTATACTTCAGAAAAAAGCCAAACATTTTCCCTTTGAATAACAGTCTCCTGAAGCAAACATCCAATCAGTTTATTTAGGATTATGTACATTGTACAGTCTGTTGCCTATGTATTTCATTGTTTTCAGGTTTGAGGTCATTCCTTTCATGGCATCATTACTTTTGGAGAGTTGGTAGCTTTGGGATTTGTTAACAGCTTTGAAATTTTATTGCTTTTTCCTGAGGGTCACCAATTTCATGAAAATCTGGAACTTTCAGTATTTTGAAATGTTTGCCATCTGTAGTATACCGGTTTTTGGGTTTGTTAAAGCCGCATTAGCTGTGTCATAGGCTTACACTGTAACTCAATGTTCTACCCTTGTCATGAGATATGGTCTTCTCATTAGAAATTAAAATGTATTTGCTTCTTCTGCAGCTCCGCAGCTTTGAAGTCCAACAAGAATCTAAGGCTCCCGTTGTAACAGATTGTGTCAATGTAAGAAAATTAATGTGAGCTCAAATTATCAGTTTATATTGAAGAGCTTTCTATATATTGCAATTTATGCTTTTAGATATCTGGATTTTATTTTTGCTCAAGTATTTTAATTTCCTTGTGTGCCAGGCTTGGTTGGAATCTGTCACCTATTGCACCCTGATTAAATTTGCAAATATTTTCTCTTCACCGGCTTGGAAAGGAGTTCTTCCAAAAAGAGCAGCTTTGCATAAGCATGCTTGAAGGGAAACAAAAACCTTGTTTTACAAATCATGAGGCTGGGATTTTTGTTCTTCAAAGCTCACAGTTTCCTCTGAGCACTTACTACACACTAATGTTATCTTTTTTTCCAGAAGTAGAGGTTATTGTTTGTATAAAATTATTAAATGCTGCCTTTGCCAATGATTTGTTCAGAGACATGTAGAGGAAGAATTATTAGAAGAGAAGGAGAAAAGAATAGAGGAACTAGAGAAAGAGGTACTCGATATATAGATATATTGCAGATGGAGTACTGTCCAGTTTACCTATCTTAATGGTGTCATCTGATAACAAATTCTTTTATTAATACAATAATTATTTAATTAACCCACACATAGTTACAATTGTGAAATGAGTGATTTTAGAAGTGGTTAAGATAGCCCAGTACAGATTGGCCAGCAAAACCAATGGTTTCGCGTGTTTTAATGTAATGGGTAAAATACGATAAGAGTGTGGTGAATTAATTCTCAATTGTTTTATTTTGTGCTTTCTGAATGCTCAGTTTTAATAAATCATGAATAAAGGGATACCCCATTTTAGATAAACAAAAAGAGAGAAGCATCATTTACAAGAGATTCAGTATGGTGATAAAAAACTATATGCAACAAAAATAAACAGGTCAAAAGTCCATGAAAATTTGTGAGAAAATTCAAAGAGGGACTATTTAACAGTTATTCCACAAGCATGTGCTGGATATGAGATGGTAGATTAGCCTGCAATACAGGTGGATTAGCGGGCTCTAGCGCGATACACGAGCATGCGTGAAGCGCGAGAACGACCGCAAAGCGCGAGGCGAGAAAAATCCGCCTGTATTCACACCATTGTTTATCCTCTTCCAACCGTTCGCCTGGCGAACGGTTTTTGTTGATTGGTTGCTTTAAGCCACGTGACGTCAGAAATGAGAAAAAGCAAAATGTGTTTGACTCGGGTGACAGGCCTACACGGACTCCTACTGCTCGTGACATTTCTACATTTGCCGTTCTCCCATAAATTCCAGCCTCTTAACCTTTTATTTTGCTCTTCACTTGTTTTTGAAGGGCACTTAATGTTGTGTTATCAGGATGATTTTTTTAAAAGTAGAGTGGAGCCAATAGACTGTTAGAGGTCAGAGCTCTGCATAGTTTCAGCTGTTATCTATCGCTTTGTAGAGTTTGACACCTCTGTAATTTGCCATGTGACGAGTACTGTGGTTTGTCTTGCCCCATTTCTATTGCAGAAATGTATGTTTCTTGCAGAAATGTATCTCTTTAATTATTCGCTCTGGAGGGACAAAGTTGGTGAGCATCAATGTTGATTACTTGCATTGTATATTGTGATGCCATGCCCGTTTGTTAGATTAAAACTGTGTTAAGCTATATGGCTTTTCACTATGGATCATATTTAGCTTTGTCCAGCGTCACCAGAGACTGCTGTAGTCTTGGAGATCCGTTCTGTGTCATCAAAGTTATGTTCCTTCCATCCTGAATTTGTTCGAGCTTTTCATCTCTTGAGCTCCATGTTTAGATTCATACCTCCTTTGTTCGTTTTGGCACAAAATGATTTAAATTAAGCTAAATTTAGATGTTGACGTCTGTTGAATGTTTTGCGTCATGTCTAGATTTGTAAATTGGTTATTTGAGACATTTTTTCGCGCCAGTAAATTGAATTGCTTTGTTCTCTCTCATTCTTTCATGCCAATCATTTAAGGGGGCGGTAGAGTATAAACAATGGTGTGACTACAGGTAGATTTTTCTTGCCTCGCACTTCACGCGCGCTCGTGTATCGTGTGAGAGCCCACTAATCCGTCTGTACTGCAGGCTATGATCTCTGACACATAACCCAATTTAGTATTTATTGATGTAACCACTGACTGTACGTAGTCAAAACAGAGGACATTGCCGACTCTTTTTTCCACCTGCTTTGTGACCTGACATTGTTGAACATCTTAGTGAGTGGCAATGTCCTCTCAGTTTTCTAGCTTTTTTCTAATACAAGAGGCCTAGTAGACTTGCCTCAAGTCGACTGCGAAAATGCGAAAGCAAGCGAGTCTTAAGACGACAAAAGTGAGGGACAAAGTCCTGAGATGAGCAACGAAGTCACAAGTCGACTTGTTCCACCTGCAGAATATTAAATTTAATTTGCATATTGTTGGCATGAAAAAAACTGGGTGTGATGTAACTATTTGACAGCCTGCACCACCTGCTGGTCGCTTGGTGAAATAAACAGTTTCCAAATGACTGGACGGTCTGAATTCCATGATGTATCCATATGGAGATGACCTGACCCTAACAAAATCTGTGTCTCGGGTCAGTCTCTCCCCAAAATCAAAAGAATCAATTTGTATCTTGTGTGCAGAGAGCATTTTAAATTTGAACTTTCGCCAAAGGCTTTTTAAAGGCTTAACAGGCTTATTCATCAGCTTGCTTGAATTTGGAAATCCTTGTTGGCGCGAAGCTGGTCAAAGAAAGCTGCTCGACAGAAATTATTTGTAAAAACTGTGCCAGAAGCAATGAAAACGTGGTTAGAAAGGTTCTCGGAATAAGAGAGCTATTTGGATCGTCCAAACAGAGGTTGGCAGTGGACCGCAGCTCCATTGAGTTGGTAAAAAGGCAAACCAAAGATTCTAGCAATCAAGTAAGCACAAAACGAACAGCCCTCTTATTTGGCGAAACCAGCACTGAACACATTCCCTTGGTGATGACAACTGAAAAGTCCACCTAAACATTATCATGGCCAGACGATTCAGATATATCTGCTGTATATGTAAGTAGGTCTAACTATGCCTAAAACATTTCACAGCTAAGAATATAATTCACTAAAATTCACCACTAGCTGTAACTCACTATAAATTTCAATAAGTTTACTTTTAAAAGTTTACCTTTAAATGTAATTTTAGCTTTTTAGCCTTTTTATTTCGTTTTTAATCTTGACATGCACATTTGAACATTTTATGAAATTTGTGCATTATAAATGTTATTACTATTATTATTATTTTCTTTTTTTTTCTTTTTTTTTTGCAATACTACACCTCATCACTTATTACAAAAACTTAGGTTACTCACATCACTACCACTACTTACAAATTACAAATTACAAATTACAAATTACAATACCAATCAACATTGGTTACAACACTAGCAATATAACAACCTCTTTAACAGGAGTTAATCCAAAGTAACAATGATATTACTAACAGAGACAAAAAAAGATAATAATACAACTAACAGATACAATACTACTACTGGTACTAATACACTATTCTAACAACTGAAGAGATTAAAGATGAGCGAAAAAATATAGAGCCATGGAATACTAAGTTAAGGCTGTTGAAATGAAAAGGAGAACCTAACTATCATTGAATTAAATTGCCTGTTTAAACAAATGTTCAAAGGAGATAACAGGGAGTTGCAATGACTGGAGTACTTTGTGCCACTTCTGTTGGAATGGGTTTTGTGTTCCCATAATAATTGAAACATGCTTTTCTATTTTTAAATTGCATCTAACCTGCTTAACGTATTCTATTGAGAATGGTCAAACATTTTTGTACTTACAAGAGTAAATGTAAAATCTATGAAGTAGTAAACAATGATTGAATAACAAGGCACTTTTCTCTCCTTTGAGACCTAAAAATTGGCATAAAGTTAAAATTCGTGAGGCTTGTATTAAATCAACAGAGATGAAAAATTGTTGAACACTCCAGAAAAGATGCACCAACGTTTCTTGTGCTGTTTGACAAAAGCAACAAAGGTTTGATTCCAAAAAATTAATTTTAAATAGAAAAGTGTTTGTAGCTATTCTCCTGTGGAGAAATTTGAACTGGAAGTTACTTAATTTTGTGCTTAATGTACATATCCTAGGTAGTAGATAAATTGACTCCCAGTCCAAATTTTCCACATCGACTAGTTCACAGTCTCTAATCCATTTCTCTTGGCTTTTTTCTGGGCGAGTACACTTTTTGGTGATGAGGATTTTGTAAGCTGCTTGACTTGGTTTGTTGGACGAGTTTAACTTAAGCAGTACATTTTCTATAATTTTTTCACCTGGCGATGTCAATTTCAGAGATCTTGTAGCACTCCTGATAGCCGAGGTTACTCTAAAAAATTCGAGGAACAAGACTGGAAAACAAAATTTATCTTTGAAACAACTGTAAGATATTATTCTTGAATCACTGGTCATGAGATCACCCCTGCATTAGCCCAGTGTTTATAAAATATAGTCTTGTCTGCGACTCTGATCATCAAGTTATTCCAAATATGTCCAGCACTGAAATTAGCTTGAGAGGCAAAGGAATGCCTAGAATTTTAGTCTGTCCACAGTTCAAAAAGTTCAAGGCTTTATTAAATTCTATTATGTCCAGCATCTTTTGTCCTCCATCTTGGTAATCTGCTATCACTTCAGATTGTTTAATTTTGTCACCCTTGTTATCCCAAAGAAATTTAAAAGATCGTTTGTTTCTTTTGAACACAACTTTGTTGATGACAGAATATAAACAAATTGTAATGCAGCTTGAGCCTTAATAACTGCAATTTTACCAATTAAAGTTAATCTCTTGTTTCTCCAATTATTTAATTAATGAAATATCCTCTACCTTATGAACCTTCTCTTCATAGTTCTTCTTCCTAATTTCTTCACAATCAATGCTGTAGCGACTAGAACTTTCTTTACTTTTGGGTGTCACGTTTTTCCGTGACCCCTGGGAATTATGCAACCAACTCTGTAATACTTAAGCGTTCTTCATTATGTGTAGTTTTGTGTTTTTCATTTTTGGCCAGTGCTTGTTAGCACTGAAAGTTCAATCTGCTGGTTTCTACCGCATTTTTTCCTTAGGTGCTTCACTATTGTGTGAGCCCTGAAGTACAAATTCTTACTTTTGTTCCGTTGTCAGTTTTTTGTGTCGTTATATTTTGTACTTAAATATTTTGCCTTGTTTATTTTCCAGTTGAATCACACACACATCACGCACCCACGGTCACTTTTGTTTCTCTCGTGTTTACGACCAGTAAGATTAAACTTGTGCATTCAAACTGTGACGCCTATAACGCTTACTAGACCTACAAATGCAGAACCAAACCTCTAAAGCCTTGACCTTGCCATCCGCCCATTTAAGATTTTTATCAGAGCATATCATCTGGTTTGATCCCTTACTGGAGCCGATCGAAAGAGCTTCAGTTTTTTCACAATTTACTTACAAGCCGAAAACTTAGCTGAATTTTTCCAATACAGCAAACGAGTGCTCAAGCGATTTTTGGGTGCCATCTAAAATCAGAATGGTGTCATCTGCATATTGACTAAGCTTACATTCAGTGCCGCCCACTGCGATTCCTTTAACCTCATTATCATTACGGATGGTGGTAGCTAACACCTCTGCACACAAGATAAAAATGTAAGGCAATAGCCAACACCCCTGCCTTACACCTTGACTTAATTCAAAGAAACCCGCTGACCAACCGTTATTTATAACACAGCTTTGGATATCACATCAAAACAAATTGATCCACTTAATTAAAGAAGAGCCAAAACCAAAATGATGGAGTGTTTTTTCAACAAAAGCCCAGTCAATAGTATCAAAGTCTTTCTCAAAGTCAACAAAGAGAAGTAACCCGGGAATATTCTTTGATTCTGTGTATGAGATGACATTGTTAATCAAGCAAATGTTTTCTGCATTAGATCGTCCTTTCAAGAAACTTGTTTGGTCATTGTCTACCAAATGTTTGGAAAACAGCCTTGAGACCTGAAGCAATTCATCTTAGATGCAATTTTGTAGTCATAGTTTAAAAATTCAATAATTGTTTTGAAGTTCTTACTGTTCAAATGGAAATGACTGGACTTGGCAATTAGTGGTGCATTTGTTGAATTTAAGAGAAAAAAAATTAATGCAAACTATTTAGCAAAGCTAAGCAATCTGCCTTTGTGCTTTA